TATCTCAGTGGCACATGTCTCATTCTTCTCTAAAAACAAATCCTTTATCAACACTGAAGAGAGCAATATGAATTTAACTCCATTACAGCCCTTACCTCCTCAGGTCAAATGATCTTGGAACAACGCTTTATGTGCAGAATTCTTTACGTGTGTATTCTTTTGGCTTTAGCATTTTTTGAGAACAAAAAGGAATTAATACATTGTGTATTTGTGAAGAACAAACGAGCAGTATTCTTATTTTAAATGTATTTCAAACAGCAGCCTTCAGTGACAACTAATTCTTAAACACATCAAACTGGAATACACACAAKCTCCTTGTCACAAAACAAAGATTAACAATGACAGATTTATAAATTGTCCTGGAACTAGAAAAACTGAGCAAATGCACTTGCTGTTCAAATGTTACTCATGTGAAGATAAAAAATACATTTCAAAGCACCGCTGACATCTGAGAGCCCTGCTGACAAAACACAAACATAAGAAAACTTTTCTGTGATTAATTATACGCTCAGGAGTTCCTTTAGATTTCTCAGTACTTGACACTAACCACTGAGAAATGCTATCATTAGAGTGCCAAGGGGCTGCTGAACGCAGGTAAATAGGCATGAGAAGGCCCCAAACACCTATCACTGCTTCTAAACCACCATCTCCATTGCCATACTTTGTCTCAGAACTCATGCCCTGAGCTGGTCCACCTCATGTCTTCCCAAGCATTACATGACCACTGAGCGCAYTGAGATTAAGTGGCAACTGATAGGTATAGGGTGGGGGGTAAAGTGTCACATATGAGGTAAAAATAGTTCTATAAATCAAAGRATATTAACCTTACTTTTGATAGGTTGAATTAAAAAAAAAAAAAATCATTTGCCTTTACATGAGCAATSTCACTGAACTTCAAAAAAGTTGGATCTCACTTTGGGGTTGGACCACATAACTTCCTGAGGATCCTTCCAGCCGAACTTACTGATCTGATGAATAACTTTTCTCCCTRAGATGACAGATTGTCTTTCCTCATGATGCTATTGTTGGCAAACATCTGTCCACATGTGACCTTCAAGTCCTCCGTGCTTCTATCAGGGCATTCTAGTTTTAAGCACTCCCATCAATTAGAGTTAATGTATAATCAACAGTGTTTCCAGTGGAGTTGCAAAGCAAATCTGGCATTGGTACCACAGAACACACTCCACTGCATTCAGTAAAAATGCAATTAGGTTCTATCACTCCTGCCTACTTCATCAGAACAATCCAAGACAACAGCACAGGCAAAGGCTTTCCCAATCTATTACTTATTTTCATGGAATCCATACAAGAGTTCAAAGCAACAGAGCAGTTAGATGTGTTTATAATTTCTTACATCAGTAATTTAATCTCTATAGGACATGAAAGGATTTTCACCTCCTTTGCAGTCACAGTTGAAAAGCACATGTATCCTTCTCTCAGCACCCAGAATTACAGCATCAGACAGAGGCAACTTTTCAAGACTTGTTACAAGGAAATCCTAATCAGCATTTACAGAAGCTTACACCTGAGACTATTAGGAGCCTAAAGGAAAAAGCAGAGCAAAACAGAATGTCTTGCATCCCCTTAAAAGTAAGTTAGCCAGTGTTTCTTTCCATAGGAAAGTGAAGAAATCTGTAGTGCATTTCATCAATATTTAAATATGATTTTTATCAGGTAACTCACTGGGGAGAATATTCACATATATCACGAGACCCAGGCTTCAATCCCTCCTCTGTAGGATTTGGTAAGAGGCATGAATACAGACCACACTTAGGAGAATCATGTGCTGCTTGGAAGGCTTTAGAGCCACTTCCACTTTCCCCATGGTCTCATGAATATTTYTGCGATCATATACAAAGTTGAATACTTGCTGCAGGGAAGTTGGAGAAGCCAAGCAATTAGCATGCTCATCTGGGACATGCAAGACTGACTGAAAATCCTTTTCCAAATCAGATCTCTGGTTCTAGAGATACAAAAATAGAAATGTGCTATTTTTCTCATAAAACTGATGTCTATGCAGGAATATTGGTTTTTCCACTGCTTTTTGCATTTTTAAAAAAAGTAACCAGCTTAAGCTTTCTTAATTCTAAGAAAAAAAATATTTCACAAAAAGAAAAAGATTTTACAGCTCCAGATATTACTGAAAATTGGTTTATTTAATGATGATATTTCACAAATACTATAAACTCAATGTAAGAAATAACCATGCTACTAAATGCAGCAAAGCTTGTACTATTTGGCCTTTACAATAATGGTTTACAATAATGATCTCCTACACCAGGCAACCAGGTGTTTTCCACTAGTGTGACACCAACTGCAAAGACCTGTGGTGAATGGGAATTGCATCCACTATCTGCTACCCCACTCCGTGAGATTGGAAATTCATGCAGAAAACACATTCAAGTTCCCACTGCAGCAAAAGATGCTGAATTATCCATAAGAGCACATCCTTCCTTTCATTCCTGCACCACTGAGAAGAGCAAAGGGGATGAACATCTGTCCCCTGGCTCCTTTCTGGGCTTTATTAAGAAATGACAGTCACTTGCCTTTATTTGATCCTTTTTAGACACAAGCTGAGAATAAGATGCTAGAGGATTCTGTACTTAAGAAGTGTCATGAGTTGAAGCAGAAAATGTGGGGTTTGGGGAGTGGGGGCTTGAGTGGCAAATACAAATGCTATAGCCTGTCACTATGCATTTTACAGGCAAGACATTCAATGTACATTTTGAGTTCCTTTTTAGATTGCCCCAAAAGCTGCAAGATTTTTTTTTTTTTCCCTGAAGAATATTATGAACTATCTGATAAACTATTTTAGCAGGGAGGCACAATAAATTGTTGAAACTCAAGATGGTGTAAAATCTCCTGACTTGAAAGAAATTGTACAGGAGCACAGAGGCAACAAGCCTAGAGGACAGACAATAGTCTGAAGCATCCTTGCTGTTATTTTTCCTCTGCTTCCTTTCTAAACCTTTCCTAAGTCTTTTCTAAGTCAAATCAAGGTGATTTGAAAAGGGCAAGTGTGATATAAACAAAATACTAAGTTTTCCTACATCTGGCTCATACCTTCGACAGTTCCTAAGGGAGAGGGAAGATCTCTCTCTCCTGTTATGCAAGGTGTTACCCTTTTTTGACAATTATAAGGTGGCAGCCAAATCTAATGAGGCTTCAGAACCAGCCACTCCACACTATTACAGAAAAAGCCAGCAAGTGAAAAATAGAAATTAGTGTAACAACAATATTTTCCATGAGGTGTCAGCAGAAGTATCTGAACATATTGCTAAAACCTTGCAAGTGCTTTTTCAGGCTGCTAAAGAGTCACAGGAGAATGAGTTTCATGTGTGTGATATAAATAACCTTCCGTAGTTTATCTTTCAGTTGCTCAGTACTCAAGTGGCATTTACTGCTCACTTTCTCTTTCCCTCTCCTACCTTCACATCCACTATGGGAATTCTGTGCCGCTCTTCCCCCTTTGCCTTCCTTACCCTGACAAACCTCTCCARAATGTAAATGATCTTCCATTTGCTACCTTTAGTTTCCAGCCCCCGGCAACCTGGAAAAAAAATTACTGTGCCACATCTTTCATGTTGAATATTCACATAATTAAGAGTATTCAAATTTACCCAATGTCCCCTAAGAACTGCACACTTGGCTGTGAACACTCATTTTATGAGAGAAAAATAGGATAAGCAATATTAGAGTAAGCACATATTGCATGAACAGTCAGGATGACCAAATGTAAGTTCTTTCTTGATTAATATGATTGACATATGTAAGAAGTCAAACACTATACTCACTCAGTAACATACCCTTCCACTTTAACCACAAGATTTTTATGTTTATGGTCCAATAAGGCCCATGATACTCTAAACCTTAAACATATGYATATATGTGGCTAGATTCTATATGAGAAAATAAAATAATTAGAAATGGCCAAATATATAACTTCAGTCTTGATAAATAGCAGAAACCTTGATTTACTTCTTGGTTACCCACTAAAGACTGTAAAACATATATTTTCAAGAGAAACATTATGCTCGAWATTAAGTTAAAGAAGCCTGCAATGCGCAATAGAGTTCATTAAAGAAGCATGAATTCTACTACATGAAAGGCATTACAAATACAATACACTGGAACCTGGAAAATGAGATTTTTCTATAGTCATATTTTAACTAACTGAATTTATTTCGCAGGGAAAAACAACATTTGAATACAGGGACAATAGACTCATAAGCTTCCATTTCAGGTTTCACTTCAAATGACAGAATTCAGAAAAAGTTATCAAGTAGATAACTTTAAAAAACCCACAAAAAAAACCTAATAAAAATGCAAATTCAACATCTTCTATGAGTCAAACTATCATCTCATAATAACAAAGGCCAGTTGTGTCCCATTCCTTAAGTCTCACACAAAAATTTATTTCAATGACAGTTCCAATAGCATGCAGCTGAAGGACTATTGGTAAATCCTTAAATTATGACACTGCATCTTGTTCAGATGGAATGCAGAGCTGCTGTCAGAATGCAGACTCCACTTGTAGCTCCCAAGATCTCTTTCTTTTTTATCTCCCACCAGAGCAGGGAGGAGAGGGGCTTGTGGTTTCCYTTTTAGCKGGAGTACTAAATTGGGRAATACCATTCCTAAAACACAACCGTAATGTCAATGGCAAATTTTATATTCCTATTGAAAATGTGAAGCAGAAATCACAAATCCAAATATGGATCAATAATTTGGTCACATCAGTTCTGAACAGAACTCCTGCAAACTGTAGCTCCTCTGTGCAGCATAAAAGTTTACATTACATAGTCATTCAAGAAAATTCAGTGACTTTTTATTTTAAAGTGTGAACTCTAACACCAATGTTATACATTTTCACCTGACTATTTTTCTCTATGTGCAAAAACATTTCTTCCATAGACATTAATCTTTCTAAAATATAGTTACTTCATTTGCAACCTAAGAAACCCTTAAGAATGCAAACAGAAAGGAGGCAAATTACTCACCTGCATTGGAGCCTGTCAAGTTATAACGTGCATTCAGCTTTTTAATGATATTTTCATGGATCTGATACCAGTCACTCTCTGTGTTGCACCTAGAAAAATTATAATTTCCTTAATTCTGGAATGGGAACACCAAGTTTATTAGACCAACTCCACAACTTATCCCTAAGTAAATCCTCTTTAGCTCACAAAACAACACAACAGGAACTAAAGCCCCACGAAACTGCCAGTCTCAATGGAAAGCATGCTCTTACTTTTTGAGAAAGGCACCATGAAATACCTGCTTTGTGTGGCAAAGGATGGGAGAAAGATAGGAGCAATTATGGTGAGCAACTCAGCCATGACCAAGTTCATTTCTGAACAGATCCATCCTTCAGGGCTAACCCACACAAAAATCTATCTTGTGACACTCAAAAGGATACACAGGACTCAGAGCTGGTCTTCACAGACAGAAAYATCTGTGTTATACACTTCAAAGTTACTTATAAAGTCTTCAGCAGGTAGTCAGTGAAAGAGCAAATTACATTTCAGTATACATTTAGAAAACAGCTGGTTTTCCATAAGGAAAACCTGACTATGTTCTAATGATCCCTTTGCAAAGTTAAGACTTGAACTAGCCTTAACATTAAATCTGATTTCTAGTGATATTTCTTCTTCCATTGTTATTGTTATTTTAAAACAGGTAAAATTTTAAAAACCCCAAAATATAAAAGGCAGAYAAACCTAAGCATTTGTTAGCCAATAGGGAACATTTATGTGACTTCARTGTTCCGGGAGTATAAATGAGAGCCAGCCCACCTGTCTACTATTACACTAAATTGCTTTTCTGCAGCACTSACTCCAACAGTTCTAATTCAACACAGATGGAGAGAGAAGAAAGATATCCATGTTTTAAGAGATCTGAGTGCCACCCTGAGAAGGGCAGAACTTTCTCATACAGGGTAATACATGTCCCAAGCATATGTACTTAGAATTGACCACKCCACAAAACAGTTCTTACTGTAATGTCCAAGATCAGCAGGAAATTACATGCATTGAGTTGCTCCCAGAAAAAGGAACTTTCTTCCAATTGCTATCAGYCAAAATCCACTGTTAATTCAGGCAATAATTTTTAAATTTTCTTTTGATTTTTCATTCTCCAGCACTGCCTTTTATACTTTTTTTATTCCTGCTATTTAGCTGTTTTATTTCACAAAAAGATACTCTGCCTGCTTTTTTTCTGCAGTTACAAAGTACTTATACTAGATGCCTAGGCAGCACGAAGCACTTAAGTCCTAAAAGCACTTTATGTTCAAGTAAGAGAGCTTCAGAATAATGTGAAAAATGCCAAAACATACAAATATCTAAAAGGATGTAGCCTTCACCTTTAATATTATCTCACTTTATAAACACACCTGTAGAACTAGCCAAAATTTCCACACTGTGATAAAAGAAACAGCTACTATACATTTTTTGGAACATAAAGGAGCTAGAGCTGTTTACTCACACTGCACTTAACACCACTGATTTTGATGCAAAATGACTCTAAGATRCTTCCAAATATTAAGAAAAAGAACATTTCTTACATGTAGACTTTTAAGACGAGGTCATCCTTTGAATCTCCTGCCAGCAAATCTGCAATACTGAGGACTGCACAGCCAAAGGGACGTCTATATTGTACATTGCAGGCATTCTTCTTTTCTCCAGCTCCCATTCGTCCTGCCAAACAAAACACATACTTGATGCATAATCCATGGATATGGATTGGACATAAGCCTGTCCAAACCACAGAAGGGAGGCAGCGAGCAATCCAACTCAGACAATGCCAAGTACACMCTCATTAGGAAACTGGTCCATCTTTACTACATTCAGATAACAAATGGTACTGCAAGACCACTATATGTGTGATGATCTTGAAAGGTTTCAGACCACAGGCTCTGCTCATCCTCTCATGACTCCCACTCAACAAACACCACTAGGCAATACCAAGTCATAGAAGCCTCATGACACTATGAAATTAAATTTAGAGTTCAGACATGACAGAGTGTTCAATATTCACCATTTGGTAAGAATTATTTTACTCTGGTTGTGGCTCCCCATCATTTATGTGAGAGGTGTTTTGAYTGAGCCATTACAATTTAGTAATCAAATGCTGTTTCCAAATAGGCAACTGGTAATTGACCAGTTGCAGAAAAATAAAGAAGAGATGAAACATGAATAGAAAAGATGTCTGAGGGCAGAAGAACAACTTCTGGTAAGGAAAGAGAGAAGGCAGTTAAGGAAAAGATATCTGAAACAAAATATTTTTTCTAGCCTTTTCTATTTGATTTAAATACAATTTATGAATCTTCTCACTGTGTTCCTGGCACTTGAAACTGCCCTCTTCCTAGCCATTTTACTCAATTGTGCACTAGCAACTATGTATCTTTTCCACCAAGTCTTAATTTCTGACAAAAAATCCCTATGGCTGCAGTTGCTGCAGGGTAATATCTCCTCCAAATATCCCTATACATCACAGCAGCTTGAAGAGTAATGGTTCATTTTCACACCACAAAGCAGATAAATGTTGTTTTAACTTTTTAATATTTCAGTGGWTCGTGTATAAACTTGACTGCAAATATATTTGAAAATAATACAATTGGAAAAATCCTACTCTTTAATATTCTTTAAAACATTTTTTTCTTATTAACTGTACTAACATCAGAGTTTACCATATATTTTCTAAACCCTTGCCAATAAAAACAAAACACWGTGTTTTGATGAAATATCAAATCAGCATAAAAATGCAAGGAAAATTATTTCTCAAAGCAGTAAAATAAGGTTTATTTTGTAACAAGTTGTTTCTGAACTCAGCACAAGTAACAGCAACTATACTTCAAACCAAAATGTCTTAAAAAATAGGAAGAAAAGTTATTATTTAGTACTGCACTGATGGAACTAGAGGCAGTTCACAGAGAAAATGTATCTAAGAGATCAGAAGCAGACCAAAGATTATTGTTTCACATCAGTACAAMCCAGAAAATAACTTCCTAAAATAAGTACCTAGCACAAATATATACTTTTCTTCTCCACATTTTTTCTACAGGACCAGATACCTATCTGTAGCATCAGAGATTGAAATTTTTATGAAATACTGTCAATTTTCTTCCCTATTACCCTTTTTAAAGGGGTCAGGGAGAAGACTAAATTAATCGGAACTATTTCAATTCTACATCACRTATTACATACAAATCAGGTACACTAAATGTCCAGACAAGCTTTTCTTTGTTCTAACGATGTTTGAAACTACACTTGAGAACAAAAATGGACTCCCCAATGACAACTCCATCATCTTAACACCATTTATATTTGACACTTTCATTTTGTTTTGTGAGAGTAACAAAGTGTACTCCATCTAAACTCAGCARTATACTTGATAAATAACAAAAAATAATGTTGAGAAATCCAAAGCAATCTTTCCAAAAAACAAAGGCATTTTCTTTTCCAAAACTTTATTCGAAAGTCCAGCTATTATAAAAAATCGAAAATCTAGCCCCAAGCAGTTTCATTTACTGTCATATGTCCCACAAATAGAAGATTATACCTACCTATCCGGATAATGTGCACAGTGATATAGATGTCCTTCCTGAGTTCACTGCTACCCAAATCCTGCACAAGATCAGAACCTCATTATTTATGACTCCTGATTAAAATGTGACATTTAAAGAGATATGTACACACTGCTTTCACTGCCAGTGAAAGTGATAAATGAACAGTGAGTTCATTTATGCAGCATTAACAAATCCCTTCAACACTTCAAATTGGCAGTCATGCACTCAAAATGAGCGTCCTAAAACATCATGGTAATAATTTGCCATAATGTAACAAAATCGTGGGAGGGCACAAGAGACTTGCTGTGTGCCTTGAACAGCAGAGTTGCATTTGTGCAATTCCAAATATTCTGGAAGTACAGAGAGTGCTGCACAAACAATTGTTTGGGTGTAAAAAGTACAAGGAGCAAACATAACTGGTCGTTGTTGCAGAGAGAAAGGCTGGTACATAGACCTACATGGAAGTTTGATGAGTGTCCACATACTGCCAAAAAACATTCRAATTGGGAGTTCACCCACACCCTTCCGCCCCTCAAACCAGCTTAGACTTGAYGTTCACAACAATGTACAAACTCAAGGAGCAGTTCTGAGTCAACCACAGAGTAAGAATTTAATCCACCTTCTATTCTCAATATCCAGCACAGAAAAAGACCAAGACTAGGAAGAACTCACCACAAAGAGAGAACAGTGTCTTTCAGGCTTTTCTGGACATTTTGGCAAACCATTTCTATTCAGTCTTAAAAAAAATCTTTCACTGTAAGAAAACAAATATGACAGATATGTTGAACAATACTACAGCAAAAGTAGATCTCAGTTTGATCTTATTTCTAGATGCAACCTTCCTCAAGATACAAACAAATGAAATAATTTTTCTGAAAGTCTCAACCGTATCAAAGGAAAAAAAAGTGAACCACTAGTGAAAGCTGATGATTAACTCAATCACCCAACAGTTACTAAAAACCCAATACAAAATAGAAAACTGATTGTCATTTGGAAGAAYGATATTGTACATCCTAGTACACACAGAAACACAAGCAATAAAATCCATTTATCCTAGAACTAAAATTAGATGTGTAGTAAGTTGGTATTGATTCTTGCTAAACAAATGTCAACATYGCCATGCTGGTATTCAACCAATATGCTTTTTCATATGTAGGATAATGATCATAGGAGACATTTTTCTTACATAACTCTATTTAAAGCTCTCACTACAGTACACTGACTTTAGCAGTTTTGCAAGAGTTTTGAAAGTTTCAGCAGGACAAATTTAATCTTTGAAATCCTGTTTTGCAATCTACTGTGGGGAGTYAAATGCTACAGCTGATTTAAATACTAATGCTGCTAGTAGGGAAATGCAGAGAATTCTTATTTTCAAATAGAAGAGGGCACAAGACCCCATTGGAAGAGAAATTACTTTTTGAAATATTCCCACTTGATAGTAGGATTTATGGATAAACTCTCAGCAAACCTGGCAGTCCATGCACAGCAATATTATGAAAAAGCAAGCTTTCCATGCTTCAGATAATTCWAAGACACAAAAAATAAGAAATGTATAAGAAATGTATGAAAGAAATGTAACAATGATATTTCTGCAGCAATGTGGAAGGTGGGAAAGGCAAGCRAGTAAGAAGTGCTACATACACTTCCCTTCACCCTCTAACCCCCAGCCCCAGCTGGCCAGATCCATGAGTCASGATGTCCTGTAATGCTTAAACCAGAAATAAAATTTCCTAGGTACAACTGGGTTTTTTAATCAGCTTCTGCTTATTCTGGAAGCCAGTAAACACGGTTCACCACTGCTCTATATCAAGACGGCTTTTCAAAATGCAGCTGGAAAATCACTTGGAATATGCTGGACAAGATCCAGCTCAATAGAGACTAATTAAATCTTTATTGCACCAGCATTTGCCTTGTAGAAAATCTGCATTGATCATTCACAAAATCAGTCATTCACATGGAAAGGGACCTCAAAGGGCCTCTAAGTCCAAACCCCTGCTCAAAGTGGGGTCAGCTATAAGGTCAGATTAGCTTGCTCAGAGCTTCAGCCARTTGGGTCATGAAAACCTTCAGCTAKGGAAATCACAAAGGCTCTCTGAAAAACCCATTCCAGTGTCTSACTGCCCCAATCTTTCCTTTGCATCCAGATGGACATTCTCTTGTTTCCATCTATATCCCTTGTCTCTCATTGTCCCACCATGCACCATTGACATTATTTATCTTCTTGTAGGTAAATGGGGATAAACTTTTTAACGGGGACTGTAGCCATAGGACAAGGGGTAATGATTATCAACTAACAGTGGGTTGATTCAGACTAGAAATAAGAAAATTTTTTTACAGTGGCAGTGGTAAAACACAGGAACAAGTTTTCCATTGAGGTAATAGATGTCCCACTCATGGAAATATTCAGTCAGATTGGACTCTGATCAACAAGGGTCAAGACTCTGTGATCTTGGAGGTCTTTTCCAACCTTAATGATTCTGAGATGATGTCCCAGCTCAATGCAGAGGGGCTGGACTAGATGACATTTACAATTCCCTTCTGAACCAAATCATGCTATGGATCTGTGATTATTCTGTGACTCAGCTCCCCTCGAAACTGCTTCTTCTGCAGTCCAAACAAGCCCCACTGCCTCAGCCTGACCTCCCAGGGCAGGAGCTCCAGTCCACAAATGTGAGGCCTGCTGAACTCACTGCAGCTCATTAATATTGAACTTGTACTGAAGGACCCAAGGCTGGCATGGATTGACCAATGCTGTGCAGGGGATGATCATTCCCCATAAGCAGCTGGCTGAGTTCTTGTTGACACAACCCAGGATGCTGTTCCACTCAGRAGCACATTTCTAAAGAGCTTTGTCTGGAGAACGCTTTATGGCTTTATGTGCCAGCTATCCAGGAYGAACCCATAAATACTTAAGACTTTSTCACTTTTTCTTTGTGATTATTTGAAAACTTTTGTGSAATCTTCAGCTGTACAGCTTTTAGATCAGACATCATAAAAGGCAGAGCCTCAAAAACAGAGCTGAGCTCACATATCAAAGTACATGAAAATGTTATTTCCCCAGCAAAATGCTATTCTTCTCATTYGTGTTTTATGATACAGCAAACTCCTGAAGCTTAGATCTCCATGAAAACATTAAAATTGAGTTTTAAAGACTGCTTATGTAAGTGMGTTTTTACAGAAGAACAAGTTGGTATTTTGCTGTTGATTCACCACTGTTTTTCAAAATACTTATGCCCTTTCATTTAGAAAGTAGCTCATTTGCAGTGGTGGAAAATACCGTAAAAAAAAAGTGCAGAGCGTTGTTTATAGGTCTCAGAGCATTGTTTATAGGTCTCACACAGTTCTTGTACTTTGAACAAGAATTATTAATTATATTGTCAAAGCAGGTAAAGTTTCAGGACCCCATTATGTGTGACACCATACAAAACAGAATACAAATGAAAAAATCCTTGTTCCAGCAGTAACAGAGCTTCTGTGCACTGAAGTCTGCAGTGCATTGGTACATGTCAGTAAAAATTGGCCAGTAAAGGCAATCCTGAATTTCRCCACTTTATCTTCATTCTGTGTAAAAATGTAAAAGTAATACATACATACATATGTATTTCACTATGTATTTCACATATGTATTTCACTATGCATTTCACTATGTTTGTCTTTAAAACAAATGCCAGATACGTTGGTTCAAAGAAAAATACCACTCATAAATTATCTTCATAGTTTACCTGCTAACTGGGAAATACATTTAACTGGGAGTGTATTCTGTATTTAATTAGGTTTACACTCCACACAGACAAAGGCACATCTTTTGAAAGCTTCCTATTCACTATCCACTACAATATGACATTTTCAAACTCTGCTGATACTCACAGATCATGAGATTATGGTTCACAACACAGCTAAAAGCCAAAGACTTTTGTGATGCCACAAAGAAATATACTGATTGCAACAGATATGTAATGGTTATGCAGATCTAATTTCCTCATTTGAATTTGAAATTTCCTTTCACTGAAGCAGAGGACCCAGTCGTGATAAAAAAGCAAACCAAAACCAACAACAAAATCTTAATCCTTGTCTGGTGCTTTATAATACCTTTTTTTTTCACTAGAAACATATAATAGTACCAGTTACAGCTCAGATTAAAATGGTTATCTTTGAACATTTCCAGGGAGCAAATGCAAGCAGTTAAACTTGTAAGATTACAAGACAAAAATGGCAATGTTTCATCCCCGTACATAGAGCATAGGCAATTTTATACCACTTCAAAGGATTCCTACAGAGGCAAACAYGTTACAAAAAAGTGCAAAGGAAAGTAAACAGCCTTCATAAAACAAAATAAAGACAGATTTCCCAAGATCTGAAAGCTTGGCTTCAAAAAAGCAGTAAAAATCTCAGAGGGTTAAATTGAGAGCTAGTATCTCACTGCACAGCAGTTTTCTCAGCAGTCACCTACTCATACATAGATACAGCAAACACACACAACGTACCCTACAACAGAAACACCTCTCCTTTGTGTAAAGACAATTTGATTCTAGTTTAGACTACAATAAATTCCTTATGAGCACCAATCTCGCCACTTAAACGTGTCACACACATTTAAACTCAGCTGTCTGCCCACTGAAAATAAAGAAATAACTAATGCTGGAGAGATTAATTTAAGAAGGTCAACAAGGGATTTTTGTGCTGTAACTTCTCATGTATTAGCAGAGTAACAATGTGTTCCAAATCTGCAGGCTTAACAGATGCATTTTAAAGAAACATGGCTGAAAATTGTTCTATTTTCATATGTGACCCCTATTTCCTTAGTATTAGCAGGAAAATATTAYCAGTCACATGATACCAGTCTAGACAGATTGCTTGCTCCATGATTTATAAACACACTATCAAGAAAAAAAAAAAAAGGGAAAAAAAAAATTCCAGGCAGATTTACACCACATGGCAAGACCATGACATCAAATACTCATAGTTCTCAGTACAGCTCCACTTTCAGACACCTTTATAAATGTTCTYTACTTGAAAATAGGTTACAGTGATTTCTAAAGTAAATAATGAGGGGCAGTAGGAGAATACTGCCACATAAYTCACCACCTCAAATTCATCACATTCCAAAACACTGTTAATGGATGCTCATTAGGAACTTGAACCTGAATTCACTGCATTTACAGCTAAAGACTCAATGGTTTTGTAAAACTCAGATCAGACATAAAATGTTACCCTCTTTCTTAACGGTGAAATGCAGAGAAATGTTGTATATTTAATAAGTTACTGAAAGGTCATAAAGCCTTAAAGTATATCCTTAATCTGAGAAAAACTGAATGATAAATGTGCCAACACGACTCATCAGTATCAGCTGATCCACAGTAAGTCAGCCCCTGTATTYCATCTGTTATGCACTTAAAAAAACATTCCCAAATTTCTAACTGCAAAATAGAAGGCAATGAGCAAAGGGGGACAGAAAAGGAAAATGAGTACTATAAAAATAAGATGTCAGCCAATTTCAGATACAGATTAAAGCAAAAACACTACCAAAAATAAATAAAACAAGCTTATGATGGGACATGGAAGCTTATCTTTCCATACCCTAGCCATGCTGACAACATGAGGGAAGAAGAAGAAAAAGAACATTCAAAGAATGTACATAGATTTATGCAGTGGAACCCAATTTGCCTTGGTTAGCTGTACAATTAACAAGGAAAAAAGGAAAAGAGAAATCAAAATAAGGAGAATGGAGGAAAAGCAAAAGAKTTAAATCAAGAT